GTGTGACATATAACTGGAAAGAGTTAGGCAAACTAATATGAACAGGTATAGGAAGAAGAGACAATTCTAAAAAAGAGCTTGAGTCAAAACACATATGTTCAGATGCCCCTGAATCAATGATCTAAGTTTTAATGTTAAACACTGCCAAACATGTTCCTGAATACTTAAGAATAGTACCAGCAACTGCATTTGCATTGATTTCAGATCCTGTATTTCCTGCATTACCAACTTGAACCTGTCTGATTATATTAACTAGTTCTGAAATCTGTTCTCTGCTAAAGGATTGATTCTGGCTTCCTACTATTCCTTCATTGTTAGGATTTGAGTTGGTTTCATTCTCTTGTCCTCCTATTGCTTCATTCCCTTTTGCTGTGGGCTGATAATTGTTGTTTTTGGTAAACTGAAAATCATCTAGGAATCCAATTAGCCTGTAGCAATCTGCCCTAACATGTCATGTTCTCATGCAATGAGTGCAGCTGACATTTGGATTATATTTTGCCTTCTTAGCTTTGCTCTTTTGCTGCTGATTGCTTCCAGATTTTGAAGAAGGATTCCATCCCCTTTGTCCTTGATTGTTGTACCTTGGGCCACCCTTTCCTTGTCCAGCAACCATAAATGAAGATGCATCTGAGTTGAGTTGAGGACTGACCATATTCACAAAAGCCTCTCTCTGGTTTTCATCTTGTAAGAGCAATGAATAGGCAAAATCCATGCTAGGGAGTGGACTCATCATGAGAATGTTTCCTCTAGCCTGAGCATATACATCATTGAGCCCTATGAGAAATTGCAGGATCCTTTGGTCCTCTAGAAACTTAGCCACTTTAGCCTTTCCACCACATGCACAATCACAGGAGCAATTTAGATAAGAGCTTAGAGAGTCCATTTCATCCCATAGCTTTTTGAGTGTAGTAAAGTAGCTTGAAATGCTGTTATTTCCTTGAACTGATGTTGAAATTTCTTTTTGTAATTGGTATAGTTTGGCCCCATTTGATTGGCCAAATCTATGTTCTAGACTGTTCCATAAATTTCTTGCTGTTTTAGAATAGATGACACTGTCTCCTATATCTTTTGACAGAGAATTGAGCAACTATGAAGTCACCATATCATTAGCTCTGCTCCACAGAGGATGATCTGCTGAGTCAGGCTTAGGTTCTTCACAAATCCCATCGATGAAGCCAAGTTTGTTCTTGGCTGAAAGAGCAATGAGAATGGATCTCCTCCAACCTGGGAAGCCTCTCCCATCATAGGGCACATTGACAAGACTCATCCCAGGAGAATCTGAAGAGTGAAGGAAATAGGGATGATTGGAGTCAAGGTTATTCATTTGACTGGTTGAACCAGTAGCAGTGATGGTTGGGGTAGCTTCTGCTCCAGTCATGGATGAAGATTAGAAGAAGAAGAAGATGATTGAATTTGAAAAGTTGAAGGATCGAGCTAGTAAAGCTCTGATACCATGTAAAAATGGAGAATAAAATTGTAGAAATTTCTCTGATCTTGTATTCACAGTAGCTTGTTTCTCTTTATACATGTAATCTAGCTAAAAGAAAATGTAAAATGAAATTAATATTGTACACTTGTTCAATTTCTATTGTCTAGTGCTATAATAGAAAAACTAAATTATTTTCTAACATGTGCTCTCACACCCTTATCTGTACAGCTAGATTTGCCATATCAATGGCTCTTATTAAATAGCTTCAAGGGCTGAGATCTGTACACGTGTAAACTCAAATGAGCAAAATAAAATGGATAGAAAAAGACATTTATCTAGAAGACTCCGAAGTCCTTTTACTATGTCGGAACCCCGTCTTCTTCTTCATTTCTGTACAAGATGAAATCTCTTTCATCTTCTTCGTTTCTGCTTCTTCTTCTTTCAAATTATTATAGGGTTTCATCTTAACATATAGAAAGAAGTGGAGCTTGATATATGTATAAAAATTTCAAAAAAAAATTCAAATTGTATAGGGAGCTAATTAGACCCAATGAATTTCTTTCCACTTTCTATTTGATTTTTCACCTAACTGTATTCTTTCATCTAAAAGAATTGGTCTCTTTTAATCTATGATCCGATTAATAACATTTCTAACTATCTTAAATTTGAATCATGCTTTATTCTTTTGTTTTTATTATTTTCACCTATTTTTTTCTATTTTCTCTAAAATTTAAAGTAAAGTTAGAATTTATTAATCATTTTGGAAATAAAAGGTTAACATTATTTTATGAACAATTCAACGTAATTATGAGCCTACTCATAGAAAGAAATGTGAATGTGATGGATAAAAAAATTCTTAGGTGTTAAATTGATGATCTACTTTGATAACGGTCTTTCATAAGTTTGATTATATTAGCCGATTTTGTTTTTATTTATGCACGAACTTGTTCTAAGAAGTAGAAAGTAGAGAAAGATAAATATATTTTTGGCTAAATTCAATTGAAACTAGGAAAAATTAGAAGAGAAAAAAAGGGAGCAAGAAATGAGATAAATAGGGCGCTGAAAAGGAAATAAAAATTAATATGGAATTGAGACTGAAAAGTAAGGAAAAGAAAGACCCTGAATAGACAAAAAGAAACGAAAAACAATAAACATAAAAAATTGAAGATTTCTGACGTGGCACGTGCGTAAAACACTTTATACTAGGAGACTGGTATTATATTCTCAGGGTGTGATTAGTTCCACTTTAAATTAGAATTTTGGGGGAGGGGGGAGGGGGTAAAAATCATCTGTATAGTTAAGGTGTGTAATTGAGTTTTCGAGACAATTTTAGAGTACAATTTTCCTTGGATAACAGAATAAGAGCCCGTTTGGCTTAGCTGATTTAGAGTAGCTGATAAGCATTAGGTGCTGAAAAGTACTTTTAAGTGTTGAAGCTGATTTAAAAAATAAGCAGCTACGTGTTTGGATAAAAGTGCTGAAATTAATAATAAGCAGCTGAAGAACTAGGTATACGAAGAGTTTTTTTTATTTTTAAGGCAGAATAGTCTGCTAGACACTTGTACTTGTTGCCATTTGTCATCCCGGTCCCTATATTCAACGAAGTTTCATCTAGGCACTTATATTTGTTCAAAAGCAATATTTTAAACCCCTCTAACGCTGCGTGACTCTCAATCGCATGATGCTAGAATCCACGTCAGATAAAATTATGCTACATCACCTTTTCTTTTTAATTTTACATGAAAAAGAAATAACCTTCTCTCTTTCTTCTTTTTTTTTTTTAACTTTTTGTTTTTTTCCTCTTTCTTCTTCACCATCCACTTCTCCTAATGCTATCACTGTCATCACTGCCATCATGTGAAAATTTCTTGGCCAGCAAAAAACACTATGAACACACTTTGATTCCCAAGTACTTTATTCTACCTCTACCTAAATACTTTATCTTCACCCTTTTTTTTCCTTTTCAAAACCCACCTTGCCAACCATAGTAGCAACCCAACTCCGTCACTTTTTTTGCCATTTTCGTCCATCTTTATTCCTTCTTTCATCACTTCCCATCCATTCTTAGTATTAACCTCCATCATATTTAATTTTACATACAAGTATAATAAAAAACAAAAATGTTTATCAATCAAATTAAAGATTTTGTATTGAAAACAAACATTCTCAAAGCAAACAAACAATGACAAATAGATAATTACCTAGATCATGCAACGAAGTCAGATCTATCCAAAATATTTAAAAAAAGAAAAAAAAGAAATTGGGCCAGGGCAGGGGCAGGGGCAGGAGCTGAGGTTGGGGAAGAATAAGAAGGGAAGAAAAAGAAATAGGGTAGGAATCAGGAGAAGAACGAAAAGGGGAGAGGGATAAAGAAAAAAAAGGGAGGGGTGGGGTGAAAACGAGAAGAAACGTGGAGTAGTATATTTTTTGTTTTTAATTTCTTTTTTCTTTTTCTTCTTATTTTAATCATTTTTAAACTAAATTTATTATATTCACGCTCCTTATACGCGTGAAATATACGCATCCTGTACAACTCAGCCATCAAGTTGCCACATATGATCGGTCAATGGTCAGAGGGGTTTAAAATATCGACTTTGAACAATTATAAGTGTCTGGATGAAACTTCATTGAATATAGGGACCGGGATGACAAATGCGAACAAGTAAAAGTGTCTACTAGGCTATTCTGCCTATTTTTAAAAAGAAGTATTTTCGGGATAGAATAGTAAATATTTTGGTCAAACCTAAAGTGCTTATAAGCTGAAATTTGATAAGTTGGGGCAGACCAACTTATGACTTTTGGCTTATTTTTGGCTTATAAACACTTCTAATTTTACCAAACTCGTAGATAAGCCAAAAAATGCTTATAAGCCAGTTTGACCAGCTTATAAGCTTAGCCAAACACCCTCTAAATATTGCCCCTCACTTACCTCGTGAAATTTTTAATCTTTTATTAGGCAAGGTGGTTACAAGATAAAGACCACCCCCAAAAATGTCATATTTCTGCAATTTGTTTGTGCAAAATCACGGGAGAAATTAAAAAACAACCAGATTTACAAGTGGTCATTCAAAATAGCCACAATTTCAAAAGTAATAGAAATTTAGCCACTTTTCATGTAAAGATAAAGCTGAACGAAAACACAATTCAAAATCCAGAAAATACTCCACCATAATATACTGGAACTCCAGTATATTATGCTAGAGTTTAGAGTTCCAGTATACTTTGCTGGAACTCCACTTTTCCAGCAAAGTATACTGGAACTCCAATATATTATATTGGAGCCAGCAAAGTATACCGGTCCAGCATAATATGCTGGGAAGTTCATACATAGTTGCACCGAACTCCAGTATATTATGCTGGACCGGTCTCTGTTCAGCAAAATAGTGGCTATTTTTTAATAAATTAGAAAATGCTGACTATTTTTAAATGACCAATTCGAAAACTGGCTAGCCATGCTATTTTAAGCAAAATCACCCATCTATTTGGGCCTCAAATCTGGACCTACTTATGAGCCTTCATGTTTTCAATTTCTACGGGCCGAACTTAAACTCGCAATTATAACATGGAATCGACTGAATTGCCCTCGTACTTCATTGAATCAAATTTGAATTCCATTTTCATCCAGAAATCTTTCAAGAGAGAGGAGAATGGTGAAAGATCTGAGCAACGATCAAGTGTCCTCCATGAAGGAGGCCTTTACCCTCTTCGACACCGACGGCGACGGTAAAATCGCCCCATCGGAACTAGGTATCCTTATGCGTTCACTGGGCGGTAACCCGACCCAAGCCCAACTCAAGTCCATAATCGCCGAGGAAAAGCTCAATTCGCCCTTCGATTTCAACCGATTCCTCGAACTCATGTCCAAACATCTGAAGCCGGAGCCATTTGATCGGCAGCTCCGTGACGCTTTTAAAGTCCTCGATAAAGACGGTACCGGTTGCGTCGTTGTTTCGGATCTAAAGCATATCCTTACTAGTATTGGGGAAAAGCTGGAAGCTGCGGAGTTTGATGAGTGGATCCGAGAAGTTGATGTTGGATCCGATGGTAAGATCCGTTACGAGGATTTTATTGCCCGAATGTGCGCCAAGTGAGTTCCCCTGCCTGTGAGTATATTTGCATTTTCTTTTAGAATTTGAATCTTTTAAGTTCAATATTTGCAAATTTTCTATTTTTGTTTTTCTTTTTGGCTTGTTGTTCGTGTTAAAACTATTTCACGGGTTATGTGTGCCGCGTGGTGGGAAATTCAACCGTTGAAATGTTTCCTGATGTGTGTGCTTTAGCTCATTTGTGTTTGTGAAGAGATACGAAAGGTTGCACCGTTTTTTTGTTGTTGAGGATTTCATGTACTTTTACAATGTATGATCCTGATATTTTCGATATCGGAAGTCAATGCCATTCTTGAAAACCGACACCTTGGCCAGTGGCCGATGTTTCATGTACTTTTACAATGTATGATCCTGATATTTTCGATATCGGAAGTCAATGCCATTCTTGAAAACCGACACCTTGGCCAGTGGCCGATGTAGTTAAGGACTTTCGGGTTCATCTGAACCTTGTAGCTTTGGCTCTGGCTTTCTATGTGTGTGTGTTTAAAAATTCACTAAACTAGTGTAAATAGTAATTCAAATGGATTGTGGTGGCATTTCGAACTCGAACCTATAATGTTCAAATCCTGAATCCACCTTTGACCTCCCTTGCTGCACGATGGCAGCATTAGATGTTGACAGAGGCATGATGGTAGTTGCTGGATGTGATTGTGAGTCAAAATGTACATGGTAATGCTGGTCTTATGTGGGGGTGTGGGGGTGGGGTGGGTTGGGAGAGTTCTAATATGGAAAAAAAGTTTGTTGCTATTTGCTACTAGAAACAAGTGGACAACGATGGAAAGTCTAGGAATGACAGTTAGAGAACAAGTGGAAAATATGTTGCATATTGGTAAATGGAGTCTTAGGAAAAACTTTAAATGTAGTGCTTCTTCATCGAAATCTGTACTCAATTATAAGCCCATTGTTCATATATCAGAAACTTGCACCAAATAGTTTTTGTGTAGTCAGTGACAACTCCTAAATTGTAATACTAGCAAGGATCAGGGCTGGTGCTAGAGTTTTTACTTTTAGGTGGCCAAGCTCGACTCTAACAATTGACATCTGATTATAAAGCAATTCGTTTACCGTATGCCCCGTGAGAAAATTTTTCAGTGCAATTTCTTAAGTCTTTGTTTACAACAACAACAACATACCTAGTATAATTCCACAAGTGGAGTCTGGGGAGGGTATTGTGTATGCATACCTTATTCCTACCCTGCGGAGATAGAGAGACTGTTTCGAAGACCCTCGACTCAAGGACAAATGAAAAAAAGCAGTAGCAACAAGCAGTAACAACAACGATATAATAAGTTAATTGAAACAAAAGAAACAACAGGTAGAAATATAACTCTACAAACAAGAAAATACAAGTCTAATACTACTGCAACTAGTATGGCAAATAAATACACTTGATTACCCACTAACTTTCTACACTAATCCTCAAACTCCATACCCTCCTATCAATGGTCATGTCCTCATTAAGCTGAGGTTGTCATGTCCTGCCTAATCACCTCAGCCTGGTACTTCTTAGACCTACCTTTACTTCTCCCCGTGCCCACCAAGGTCAATCTCTCAAACCTCCTCACGGGGGCATCTGCACTTTTCCTCTTTACATGCCTGTACCATTTTAACCTTACTTCCCGTATCTTGTCCTCCACGGGGGCTGCTCTCGCCTTGTCCTGAATAACTTCATTCTTAATCTTATGTCTCTTGGTATGCTCGCACATCTATCTCAACATTCTCATTTCTGCTACTTTAATCTTCTGGACATGAGAGTTTTTAACTGGCCAACACTCTGCCCCATATAACATAGTCGGTCTAACCACAACTTTATAGAACTTACCTTTAAGTCTAGGTTGCATATTCTTATCACACAAAACAATGGATGCGTGCCTCCATTTCCTCCCCCATCTCCAATGCGATGTGTGATATCCTCGTCAATCTTCCTGATACCTTGAATTACTGATTTGAGGTACTTGAAACTTCCTTTCATAGGGAGAACTTGAGTGTCAAGCGTCACTGCCACATCCGCATCATGATTCTTGTCACTGAACTTATACTCCAAATATTTTGTTTTGGTTCTAAAGTCTTTCTTCGTGTTAAGTTTTCTAAACAAAACAGGAAATCTTAATCCGATACATTTATGTTTGTCAAAAGGCCCTCTTTTAAATTATTATTTTTAATATATTTGTCTTCGAAAAGCTCTATGGAATCTATTGAATTCAACAGAAGCTGCCACCAAACTAAATTTTGCATACATAATTGTTGAAAACAGAAATATTGCTCCCAAAAAAATTTGCAAAATTTGAACCTGTGGGCTTCGTAGAGGGAGTATAATACTCTCCGATACAGGGTTTCGAGAGTGCGATTTTGGGACTTTACTACTTCGTTGCTACTTATCCCTGCCAAGGCTGCTTCATGCTTAGATGTTACGATTATGAGGTTTAAAATATTCTTCTCTATCAAGAAAGTGTTGCCATTCTAAATCTCTTGGAGATGGTTTTGTTAGTGTATAACCATAAGACACAGTGTTATTAAAACTGCTCGCTTCTCGCTTTAAGCGCTGAAGCGACGCGAGGCGCAGGGCTATCACTTTTCTGCTACAAAAGCAACTCACATTTAAAAAGCGCTCGCTTCTCCCGCTTAAGCGAGAAGCGCCTCGATGGAAAAGCGATAAAAAAGCGTGCGAGCAAGAAGGCATCTGCTAGGGTTTTATTAAAAAATTTTTGGCAAATAAGCCATCTGTTAACAAATAAACATACGTTCTTCAACGACTTCTTCTCCAGCGACGACGAAGTCTCCAGTTCTCGGTAAGTTTCTTCAACGACTTCTTCTTCTTCTGTTCTTCTTTCAATTTTTTTCACTTTTTAAGCGCTGATTTTGTGCCCTAAACGACTTCTTCTTCTTCTGTTCTACTTTGTGCTCTGTTTTATGCTTTATGCTCTGTTTTCTGCTTTCTCATCTGCTTTATGCTCTGTTTTCTGGTTCGTGTGAATTAACTGTTATGTTTTTTTTTTTTGGTTGTTGATTGTAGTAAATTTAATTTGATTATTCAATGGCATCAAGCCAAAAAAGCCAAAAAGTTATTTGCTTCTTAATTCAAGAATTGAAACATTTGCTTAATATGTTATTTTTAATGAGTTCTTAGGCATTTATCTATGCCTATTTTTTTTTATTTATGTGTTAAATTGCGCTTCACATGAAAAAAGCGCGCGCTTCGCTTCGCGCTTCTCGTTTCGGTGAAGCGAGGCCTCGTCGCTTTTTTGCGCATGACGCTTTCCAAAACACTGATAAGATATTAGTTTCAAGTTTACTGCTATAAGCAAATATTGAACTCCCTCAATTCGAGTCTTTGTGACTGTATCAATTTGTTCCAAAATGAATGACCTGTTTTCAAATTTGGTAAAGGAAATAAGTTTACATAAACTTTCTATTTTACCCTTAATGACAAGCTTATGTATCCATACAAATGTTATGGCATATTTAAGACCACAAGTTTCAAAAGTCTTATAGCCACACAAATGTTATGTCATGCTTAAAGTATTTGGATAAATTTGTGAAAGTGAAGTAGTTTGTTAGAGCATGTCATATGAAGGCAAAAGTGACATGCTTAAATAAACCCTCTCTATGCCCCCGGGCTTTGGTTCAACGGTGATGGTAGTACATGCAGAATGTGTAGTAGGCTGACGTCAAGAGTTCGAATCCTGGCGCGGGATGTGTGGTACGCTACTTCAAGAGTTCGAATCCTGCTTCAAGATTTTGAATCCTGGCTGGCGAACAAAGCATATTGTTTATGTAGAGAAGAGTGTAAGGGTGGGCCCATTATCCGGGGAGTTCCGAAGCTAAAAATACGGGATTTTTCTGGAAAAAATAATTTAAATAAGTCCTCACACATCTCTGTACTTTTTTCGACATGGGAGATCAATCAAATAGACCAACAAGGAAAGAGAGTCTAATAAATTGAAACAAAGACGAGGTACTTCTATTCTACAATCCCCATGGTAAAATACAATGCGAGACAGCTAAAAAGGTAATTTAAACTAGAACATGGTGCTTTAGGTTTGGTTTATTGCTTCCCTGTTCCTAATTATTCCGGACAATGTTTATATGAGTCATGAGAAGGGGATGGATTGGTGGAGATATCACTTCTCTGCATTCCGGCATGGATTTGAGAATAGGGGCTTACCTTAAATGGTTGACAGTAATATCCAGTGAATTTATGCATTCACTGAAAGTCCAACTCTA